GTGAATTAACTTAAAAAAAATATATTAAATAGGTAACACAAAAAATTTAAAAAAAAATCAATTATTTATCAGGATATAAATTATATCATTATAATTGTTAGATATTTATGTTAATATTATTAAGTACTCCTGACTAAGGTCAACGATATAGGTAAATCGTATTGAATATTTTATTTACATACGCACATATCTACCTATATTCATAATATGTAATGTACCTGAATAATATGTATGTTTTCGATCGATTACCTGTATGATTAGGTATATTAAATATGTTTTATTATTCATTATCTATAGTTATTATTAACTAGCCACTTATAAAATATACAAATTGCTATTTGTTTTGTCAATATAAATATAAGCATATACGTAATCATATGTTAAATAAATAAAATTGTACGCAGAAAATTAACATTTGTTGTACCTATTCAAATTGTAACGTTTAAACATTTTTTAAAACTTTAATATTAATACCAACACTACAACCTACTACTACACTAACTACACTAATATAAATAGCAAGGATGACATGTTGTGCAGTAGTCTCATTATCTGAAAATTGGACATTTTGGTATAAAGATAAGTGCGCAGAGGACGAGGATTGGAGAATGAACTTCCAGAAGTTATTCGAAGTGTCGACGGCTACGCAATTTCTCGAGGCCTACAATTTAACAAAACTGCCATCTGGTTTGCCGCTAGGGGCCAGTTATTATTTTTTCAAAAAGGGAATACAGCCTATGTGGGAAGAAGAACCGAATAGAGGAGCGGGAGCTTGGATCATTCAGGTCGAAAATCAGATAAATAATGATTTAAACTTGATTTGGTCAGATTTGTTGTTTACACTTATCAGTGGCGGGTTTAAAGAGTTGTCGTGTTATTTATGTGGCATTACGTGTAACGTGAAACAACAAAAAATGAAAAAAGTTGCAATATGGACAGTTAAGACTACGTTGGAAAACTATGAACATATAATGAAGATTGGAAAAATACTGCAAATGCTCAAACTAAACGTTTACGAAATAAAATCATTAAAATATAAATTACATAACAGATTGTCAAATGATTTTGACTATAAGTTATAAGTTTTAAAATTATGTACTAAATACAAATATGTTTTGAGTTTATTTGTACGCGTAACATCTTTAAGTTTTAACTGATTTAAATGCATTTAATTTTGTAAATGAAACTATAGCTCAACAGGAATTTTGTATTAATTGAAACTATTATTGACAGTTTACGTTATTAAACTAACATTTATTAAAATAATATAGCTACCTATTTTAATATGTCTATGAAGTTTCATATCACTATTCATTATTATTAATAAAGAAATACCTATTCTGGAGGGTAAAATTTTTTTTTATCAAAGTAAAAAAATACATAATTTCAAAGTTTAATACATATAGGTACTTAGTAGATACTTACTTTGAATATCAAAATATAATTTTTTGATTAAATAACTAAACGTACATGACATTTATGAAAGTTATGTTTATTGGCAACTATACGAACGTATTTACTATTTGAACACAAAATAAACAAAATATAGTGAAAAAAATATATATTATATTTTCATAGGTAAAATTCAAAATAGAAAAATTCGTAAAATTGCATCATTACTATAAAATAAAAATAAATGCACCAGTATATTTACAAGAATATACAGATAGTAAAATTTTATATTAAAATTTATATATAAACTAGCTATAGTTGGCAGTTGCTATAACGATATTATAATATAGAGTAGGTACTATTAGTACTTACTATTAGATGAATAAATCTTATTTCATCTTAATAATGCTAGGTAATAGAGTATTGCAGGTTGTCTCTATTTTGTTCGGCCGGTAGAAAAGTTTAAGGACATTTCCTAGTTTTTGTAACTTATAACTTATAGAGTTGGCTCAAGGTGCACTTACTCAACAGTATCTATAGTATACTTCTATCTAGCACTAACAAAAAATAGGGCCTGCAATCGATTGGAAAAACTAATGTTTCTTTAGGCTGTATAGTATTATATAATATTTAGATCGTAGATGTATATAAAGGATATTATATGTAGTAGTAGAGGTATATAGCATCTAGGTATATTTTTATACGTACCTACCTACACTATTTTAACGATTATCGATTAATAAAATGTTCGCTAAATACAACAGCAAAATTATTTTTTAATAGCATTCTTGCCTCTAAATTGAGTACCTATAAAGCCGAAAAAATAGGACAAAACTAATTATGTTTTACTTTTTTGTTCTACAGAACTGCTGCACAAACATAACATACACAATGCATAGAAATCATTTGCTGTTTTCACTCCTCGGCCTTTTCGCCGTTGCGTGTGCTTTGCCGAACGACAGGAGACCATTCGTTCGAGTCATCACTGAACCGAAACCAGGAGAAGAATATGTTAGCATTCACACTGGAATGCCTTCGTCGGCCCTCCATAGCAAACCTTTGGGTATGAAATTGTGGATTTTTGAAAAAAAAAAACTCTTAATTCAAAACGATTAAAATATATACTATAGCGAGATTTTCATTACAGAGAGCGATATGGATGTGAAAATCCTCGATGAAGGACAAACGGGTATAAAAGAAGTCGCTGGTTCCGTGCCAATGGAAGAAAAAATTTACGCGGTACGTATATACTTACCGATATACGTTCTCAGAGATATTTTCATTTTTTAAATATGCTTACTGCGGGGCACGTAGGTCATAAAAATAATCATTAAAATATCATGGGCCGGCACTTAGATAATATTATTATTATGTTTGACGCGTAATGATTTTATGTAATGATTTTATTATTGCGGCAAATTACAAACTTATTTTTACATCGACTGCAAGTGAACATCTTGTCCGTTTTATGTACAAACATCAACAATTAAGTGTTATAAAGGTCTACCTGTGATTACCTCTCGGCTCTCGGTACTCAACCCACCAGCTATCACTATGACACTATTATCGTTATATAACGAATAAAAATAAAGTTCTCTTTGTTTCGAAACCGCTGTTTCATCTGGCGGCTGTCGTAAAATTAATTTTGTGGTTTGAATATTGATAATATTATACGAGTTGATTTTGAGTACAAAATGGTAACTGTTCGAGTTCAGCTTTTTAACTTAATACAACAACAAAGAAATCTTTTTAAAATAAAATATAACAATACCACAATTATCAAGAAATATAAAGGAATATTTCATTAAATTTCAATGGGATCTTGTTAATTGTTAATTAGTAAGTACCTACCTATAACCTACGTTCAATGTCAGATTTTCAGAGGAGCGATGAATGTACCTGTTGATTTTACAATTATATCTTTTTTTGTGTCTAAAAACTGATTTTCTTGTAGAAAAAAATGTTTAGATTTTCAACTTTGAGGGTGGTTTCTAGCAGAAACTTGGGTCTAGTTGTTGATTTGGCAATCGTACAAAATTCCAGATATTTTCGAATTATTGTACTTGACACGCGCATTTATTTACATTAAACATAATAAGTACTATGTGTTTCTTATTCAGCACAAAAAATTATATCCGTCCAATGAAGATGGACAAAGAAGATCAAAGGCGGAAAAAAAATATGCTGCGCCAATTGACACAGATATTTCTCACGACGCAAAGCCGAACAAATTAAAGTAGGTCGATCGAATACCCGTAACAATATTGTTTATTAAAATGTATTTTGTGTTAGGATTAAGAGGGAAGAAGAGACCAGCAGTCAGAGCTTTTCAAAAGGACAAGAAATAACGAGAAACAATAACAACAATGAAGACGACGGGTTATTTGACTTCGTGGATTCCCCATACGGCAACCAAAAACTCGTCGGTTCAGCTTCTTCTCAGGCGTCCCGGGTAAATATCAAAAAAGCACCAAACGGCCAAGAATATGAATACGAGTACGTCTATTACTATTACGACGAAGACGAAGAACACGCAAAACCCGGTTCCAAAAGTAATTAACTACTATAATATATACTACACTTTTTGAGATCTGAAAGCTAAAACAATAATTGTTTCAAATCACAGATAGTCAGAGCACATCAAATTCGCCACCGACCAGTTCAAAACCCAACAAGGACGTTAAAGAAAACAGCAAATCAAAAAGACCTGCAGTTGTACAAGATGAAAATCAATTTGTACAAAATACCAACAAGGGCAGGTTGGTACCTATCATTCACAAACTTATAAAATATACAACAATATATTTGTTGTACCAGATTTATTTAAATAATCGTATTATTGTCAAAAAATATACACCAGTAACATCAATAGGATGTTAGCAACCTAGGGTTTTTAATTTTATTTATTTTCAACTTAAACATTTTAATTGAATATTATATAGGTTATATTTCAAATTCAGTATAATCACTCAACATATTTTGTTCAAAAATTACTATCGATGTGGCTTCTAAATTGCAGTTATTATGAACCATAATAAGTTTACATTTAGTTGACTAGTGAACTAAAAACACTGATCATTGCAAGTTGCTAAGTAAGGGATTATAATTTTTTTTGAAACACGGGCAACATTTTTAGATGAATATTTAAAAAAAATACGTCTAGGAACAATATCATTTAAACCTCAAGTTAATACCCAATCCCAGATGGCAAATCCATTTTGTATTTTTGCTAAAGACAAAATATACAATTTTTTTTATACTTATAGTAGTATTCTTAAATGCAATAAATACATTTATATGTTAACTCAAAATATCTTATTTATAAAATACAAATACAATCATAAAAAACACTTAAGAGTTTACTGAATTATACTCAGGTCTTTTTTAAATTTTCAAAACAAACAATTTAATTATCTGAAATGACATTATTTAATTTAATTCAAATTCATATTTCAGGTTTTCTGCGGTAGAACATACTGTTACTACAGAAGAACCTGAAGGACATGCCAATTTTGCAGTTAATGATATTGCTGAACATAACAGTAAAACAAAGTAAGTACCTATCATAATTACACAATGTATAGTACTATGGAATAAATTAATAATATTTATACATTCCTACTCAATCCCGCAGTATAATCAAATAATTTGGGATTATAAATTTTGCCATTTTTATCTAATGTATAGTGAAACCATTTGCCTTTGACTTTCAGTGGTATACTTTGACCACTCGAATTTCTCCCAACAGCACAGCTAACCTGAAACAATATAATTTTATAGTACATAAGAGAGAAAAATAATAGTAGGTATACAATATTCAATCAAAACTCTAATTGAAAATACATAAAGCTACTAGGTTTAAAACTGTGTATGTAAAACACGATATGTTAAGGGTCACAGGATTCCTGATTGCTAAGAAGAAAATATATTAGATAGAAACTAGACAGAAAACAAGTGGGAAGCATCTGATTAGTGATGAAAATCAGTCATTGACTGTGGTGGATTTGGATATTATCTTTTCTGAATAGAGCATAGTATTATTGAAAAATGTACTTACTGTTTCAAGAGGTATGGTTGTTGTTATATTTCGATTGAAAAAACCAAAAGATGTTATACTCAAACGATCGCCTCCTTTACACAAAACCAACATTTTCACAGATTTCATTGTGTAGACAGAGCATATAGCTATTAACGTTGTACCTTTAAATATGTCAAAATTTTAATTTTATAAATTATAAATTATATAAATTATCTAATAAGAATTTAATCAATTTATAATCTATTTCTTACCCATACATAAACAGGCGATGGGAATGCCAATTGTTGCTATTTTTCCTTGAGATTTGATTTTATCGACCCATGATATTGGCTGATGGTTTACATTATTGTCAGGCTCTTTGTTCAATAAGACATTGTAAGAATCTGCTACAGTAAGCCAAAAACCAAACTGAACTATAGAAAACACGCTGATCATTTTGTATGTTTTGTCGCTAGATGATTTGTATAGAAGAACATCTTTTGGGACGTTAGTATTTAAATTAAATATCGATTGTTCGTTAAAATTTCTCCTATTGAAACATTTTAATTTGTCCAATTGATTTTTGTGCAATTTATCTAGAGTGTTGAATGTTCGATTGAATGTAACACATCGTAGACAAGGTAAAATATTTAATATTCGTTGAAACGTCATTAGTAGGTATTTGAAATTAATCAAACAGAAGTGACGACGCGATGTGTACTGTTCTAAATAAAATACAAAATACAAATTAAGAAGCTACGATAAAAAACATGCAGACATATTATTATAAAAATATAAAAAAAAAAATTAACTTTTTCTCTGCGAAAGTGCGAAATGTGAATATCACTGTTATCAGTTAAATGTTAACACTTGTTTTTCTTATCACTTTTGAATGTTAGATATCAGATTGAATTTTGACGTTAGTACATATTGTAGTTTACGGTTTGTACGACAACTGGTCTAATACACAACAAGACGTCTTGAAAGTCGAAGGTCGTTTAGTGCTACTCATTATTGTTAAATTAAATAAAAATATAGGTATACACTCAAACCAAATATTATAATATTATAGTTTTCGGCCAATGACCTATGCAGTCGAGGCCTTGTTCCTTATAATAAAAAAAAAAAAAAAAAATATTATAGTTTTATTAATATAATCAGATATATCCCGATATAATTAAGATAATTAAGTACGAAATATGGTAAAATATGGTAAGTTTGGTTAAAATTAAAAATCCCATGTTACAGCCATCTGCCCATCTTACCAAGGTACCAGAAAATATTATTATTGGAAATAATTATTTTTTGTGTGTTACATAGTACGTCTAGTATACTACCTATATGACTTAGGATTTTTCAATATTTTTTTGAAGAAGCCGCATTACAATAAAATTAAAAATAGGGGGGTCGCGATCCAAAAAAGGTTGAAAACCACTGCTCTAAAGCATAATAATTTAATATCTACATTTTTGTGTATCACAGTTTATTATTATTTATTATACATCATTATTTATTACTTTATTACTTAGTAATAAATATATAAATAATATTTTATTACCATATAGGTCAATAGAATATAGATCGGCATTCGGCGTATTCTTTGATGAACTTAATTATGGTCATAATTTTATGCTGTTTATAATTAATATTATACCTACCTATAATATGGCTATTATATAATATATTGGCGGAGCTCCCCCTGATTCGTACGATTCACAATGCATAATATATAATTCTATATTTCTATATATTTTCAACAACGAATTTTTAGCTATTTAGAAATATTTAAAAAGTATTTTTGGTATAAGGTATTAAGGTGGTTGTGTTGTACAGTGTATACAGTATACTTATTAAATTATATAGAATATAATATTATACATAACACATTTTGCTTAGGGAATCTGGACGTAATCTCGAAGAAGCTTTATCAGTTCCGTCATCTTCGCTACCAGTTTCCGAAGAGCGTCTTCCGCATAATGCTAGATTCCCCGTCCGATCTCGTGGCAACTCAAAACCTGCTCAGGAAATTGCTACAACTGCTGTACCCTCTACAGATACCCCGATTACTCGTATTCGAGCAAATAATAATGGTAAAATTAGCTTAGCACCTACTTGCTGAATTATAATATTATATTTAACGATACCGTGTAATTTACAAAGGCCCACACCAACCAGGTTTGGACTTGGTGGACAGCAACGCTTTTAGAACTCATTCTAGCAATGGCCAACATGCACAGGCTACTTCACCGAGACACGAAAGTCACAGAGGTAAAACATAAATATCTGGTTACAGACTAATAATAATTTATTAATGAAAGAATATTATACTATAGTATTTAATAGAAAAGTAATTTGTAAATACCTAGGTATACGTAGATTGCTATACTTTTACGCATCTACTACAACTACACAGTAGTTAGTACAGTATCTGGGTTATAGTAAATTATGTGGAAAATATTTTCGTTTAAGGTTAATTTAGTGGAAAAAGGGTTAATTGACCAAAACAATATTTGCCTTATTTTTATATGATATTAATTATAACGGGCGTTGAAGGACAATCCAGTTGATACTACTACCTACTGCATAATATTATATGGGCATATTTCTAAAAACTAATATAATATTTATACTTTTGTACAGAACAAAATATTTGTTGTATTTTAATAATTATTAAATTACCATGCATACGTGTGTAAATGAGAATTTGTGAGTGTGTGTGGGATAATATCTAATCTCGAAGGCCAATTGGATATACCAAGACGAGGCGGCTGTGCGAGGTTAAAAATGGCGAAAATACATATTTTCAGATGCTGTGGTACAAACGACCGCGATGCCAGCAGATCAAGTAGCAACTATTAATAACGCTTATAACACTCAGCTGACAGAAACAGTAGCATCTGTAACAGAGCCGGTTAGCTTAGATCGGAATCAAGACAATACCGATGTGGATACTAAGGGGTTATCATTGACGACAGCATTAACCCCCGACGAGGTCGTCACGGTCGTCACCCAACGTTATACCCCAGGTTCGCGACGGACGTATGCTAATATCAGCTAATCATACTGACATCGAACGTGATGGATGGCTTTTTTTTAACCGTATATTAATAATTATGGATACATCGCTTTAGTTTTTATTTTATGGCTTTTAAAATGCTTAAGTTAACAATGCTTTTAACGAGGATTGCCGTGCTTCAATATATTTACTTGTGGACCTTTATGTATTATATTAACCGTAGTTATGCGTGATAATAATATTTATATCGTTAAATACGAGCTTGACGACTATGAATTAAATTAAAACCGCGTAACTATTTTCAGCTCTTTTACTAACGTTGCGTGTAGTATTAGGTACTTTTTATGTTATGATTATTAATTATTAAATTATTATTCAAGTATAGCTTGTATTTTATTGCCATCATTGCGGTCGGCAGATTGGATACAATACTGCTGTGCACGAGTATTAAATCTCTCCACAGGTTTCTTAATCACGAGTTGGTGACCGGAAACCACCAAATAATTTATGAAAATGGCACTCCAATATCCAATAACACATAATAGAATTTCAAAATCAATTGAAGGGATAGAGATAACAAAATTGAATCCTCTAAACTAAAAAAAAATATAATTTATGTGAAAATATATTTGAATAATTTATATTTAAATTAATAACCATTACTAGATGAATATAATCTACATTGGAATTAATAATTATTACTAAATTAATATAATATATTAAGTATATTATAATTTATAATATAATTAAATATCTAAATTATTTGTTGAATAGGTACTTCACTTTTCTACTCTTTAAAATCAGAATACTATTTGTAACAGAAATTTGAAATTTGTTGATATTACTTAATCCAAATAATATTATATCAATATTACCTATTATTAGACGAATCTTAAAATTATCAATATTATTAATACATAGGTAGTTATTTTAGGTCTCATAAGAAACTTAAGTAAATACCTACCTATAGTTTTAGTAGGTACCTATTTAATATATTACTTATAATATATAGAATTGTCTATTATATCACAATCATGTTTATAAAACAGATTAAATTGGGAATCATTTCTTATTTATGACTTTCATTAACCTTCATCAATCATTAAATTATTTAAGAGGAAGTCACACTAAAATGTTTTGTTCTTATTTTGAGTAATTTTAGTTCATAATATTAGATAATGTAATGTTTACCAATTAGTTTTTTTTACTAAGCGTTGAAGCGTATGTAGTAGGTAGTATACCTAACTAAGTATTTGGTTTACTACTTGATATACCTACCTACTATGCATACCTGTTGTGTGTAACATAAATTAATACTTTATAATGTGACGTCCTCTTATATAATAATAACACGAAATTCGGTATTTCTTTTATCGAATTTCTGTACGAATCTGCATATTTCATCATGATTTCCATAAAATATATTGAGTAAACAATCGAATTTGCTATAGGATCGACGGACAAAGGTGCAGTAGACCTGTACGCCATTTTACAGCAAACCCGTAGCGAAGAAACGGCCAACACGATATTGTCGAGTGAACATTCCACGAGGTTTGAAGACAGCGAAACTCAATACCCGACTACTTTAAGGCTGGCTCCAACCACAACCACAACCACAACCACCACAACACAAGCGCCGACAACGACGACGACAACCACAACCACCACTCAAGCACCGCCACCAGCCCGTCAAGCTCCTGGATCAGGGCCGGTGCGTAGCCGTTATCGAGGCGGCTCCGGGGGTAGCAGGAACACTTTGACGTCGACCACTACGACGACAACTGAGCTACCACCATCCGAAGAGGTCACGGAAAAACGTAAATTCAAACCTACCCGTGAACGGAACACTCAGGTAATGCGATGGTTTATGAATTGTTAACAACAGATTTAAGAGGATGTCAACGCACTATTTGTTTTCTCTCTACGGCCCACTCGCCACATAGGCAAGTCCAGAATAGTTTTTTCTATGTTTTTAAGTAATCTTAGAGTAAAACCACCCATTACAAAAAAGATAGAGAATAATATTTTAGAGGGAATGACATATCGATTTTATAATATATTGATATCTGACTTTGTATTCGACTTTCAAAATAAACAAAAAAATATTATGAATTTAAATGATGTTTAAATTGTTTTGAAACAATATTTAGACAAATTAATATGTCATTCCATCAAAAATATTATTCTCTATCTTTTTTGTAATGGGTGATTTTACTCTAAGATTACTTAAAAACATAGATAAAACGATTCTGCATAAATGCGTTTTGCCTATGTTGCGCGTGGGCCAGAGAGAGAAAACAAATAGTGCTCTGACATCCTCTTAACGAAACCGCAATGGCGCAATTGTGGTAGGTACTGCAAAGTACCTAACGGAGTATTATGATTAATACCTCATATTTTTTTGGATAAAACTGCACATATTACTTTACCCACCGCATTGGTTAGTGGTAAACATTCTTGAATGTTTTCCAGTAGAGTTTATTATCCGTAAAATCACAGACTATATGAAAACTACACTCTAAAATTAACTATTTTCATAAAGTATAATAGTGGTAGAATTGTGATTTGTATTTGTATGTCAATATCAAGTCACAATACAATTATTAAAGTATCAATGGGTTTAATGTATATAACATAATATTATATACAGACATCC